AAGAAAAACAGGCCAACGACTATCCTTATTTCATCCAAAACCCCCTGAAGTAAACAAGAAAACGTAGACAAGGACAAAAAAGTCACGCGTTACAATCTAGATAATAATACAAGAAAAATCTGGTTGCTATGACAACGTTGCAATATTTAGGTCAGCTTTTCTCCACATAGATCCTGATACAACAACGTTGGATAAGTTTTCAATCGGAGAATAAATTATAGAGAGGTTTGCTATGGGGAAAATTTTTTTTTGAAAATGGGGGTCTTGCAGTCGGAATTGAAAAGTTGGTACGATTTTTGTTGAAAAGACATTTTTTAGGAATGTATGCTGTAAAAAGAAATGTCGTGGTGATTTAGTGTGCCATAATATTTTAAAAAAAACTTTTAAAAATTTAGCAAGCGATACAATTATAGTTACAATTTTTTTTTTAATTTAAGCCGTTTCGGAACCATCGATTACACTCTTTTTCATATTTTTGTATTGAATTTAAACCGTTGAAAAGGCGTTTAGAATTCAAATATTTTTAAAAAGCGCCCTCAACCTCTCCTTGAAGTCAACCGGAATGGCCAAGGAGAGTAAAACAATAAAACTTTTAATAAAAGTCAGAACAATTGTTTTCCATGATAAAACATACACAATAGCAGTCAATGAGGCTTAGCCTAGTATCATCCTCTTTCACCACAAAACCTTGACTCTACTAATCCAAGTTTTAAAAAAAAGTGTTTGCTAAATTACTATTATATTACTAGTAATAATTTGTTTAAATATTTCTAGCCTTAATAAAACCGGAAGTAATTTTGTACTTATTTCACAAATGTTATAAAATATTCAATTTTTGTTGAAGAAATAGGCTTTCTGGGCAACAACAGTTTGCAACCATTTAGAAACAGCTATTCAAGTCAATGCTTATCTGAAGTCAGGGGCGTAGGGAGGGGGGGCGGGGGTGCGGACCGCACCGGGTGACACCATTTAGGGGGGTGACACCAAGGCAAAATATAGCAAAAATATAGAGAGAAACTTGAGGGGGGTGCAAATCGAAAGTTTGAGGGGGGGGGGTGCAAATCGAAAACTTGAGGGGGGGGGGGGTGCAAATAGAAAATTTGAAAGTTTGTTCCCGGGAAGGGTCGCTACGCCTCTGGGGGGGGGGGTGACACCATTAAGTGCCGCACCGGGTTACACCCGACCTCGCTACGCCACTGTCTGAAGTTATTTTTATTTATATTTCTCTGATTGTGCTCGCATATTGAATGTAAAACCAAATTTCGATTATATCAACAACAACACACGCAGTACGTTGGTGTTTCAATTGTCTGATATGGACTCCATAGTCCACTATACGATTTTTAAACGTACCTCTTGCGTGAGAGACGTAATAATAATCATTAAAAAGTTTTAAAAAAACCCACGTTTTCTGATTGAACTAAAAAGTAGAAAATAAATACTATACATCACAATAATGCAAGCGATCACTCTACTATAAGCGATCAAAAACGTGGGGCGCCGAAGTAAAAGTTATATTACTATTGATTAGATAATACTATTGACTTTTATTAGGGGAGCTTGTAGAGAGTCAACAGTATTAGAAACTGTAAGAAAATCACGGCGCTACACGTTTTTTGATCGCTTATAGTAGAGTGATCGCTTGCTTATTGTGATGTATAGTATTTATTTTCTACTTTTTAGTTCAATCAGAAAACGTGGGTTTTTTAAAACTTTTTTAATGATTATTATTTTCTACTTTTTAGTCTTTGTCTGTTTGTTTGCATTAAAATCTTGCTATCGATTTTATCTTTTCACTTTTTTTGGGTAAACGAAGACAACTCGTAAAAAGACAACTCGTAAAAAGACAACTCGTAAAAAGACAACTCGTAAAAAACACGTTGTTTGAATACGTTACTGACTAGAACACATAGATTTGAACCCGTGTCGAGTGGGATAGCAATCGTGTGCCCAACCACTCGACCATATCGTCTCCCCCAAACTGGCCTACCTCCCTGTAAGTTTAAACTTGGTTCAAGCTAAATTCTCTGCCCCTAAGCCTGTGGCGACATGTGATCGTTCGCTTCACTGCGCGCGAGGTACGCGTCGCTGGTTTTTTTTCTAATGGCTAGCAGAGGATAATTATATATATAGATTATATAGCGGTCTAAAATGCTCAATAAAATGTTTCCATTGATCAATTAGTAATAATAACAATTGAATATTCAATGGTCATCCAAAAGAAAGCTTCCCTGAAAATTTCAGCGCGCTAGCTAACTGGGAAGTGCCAGAAATTTCGATCGCAAGATTTGATTGGAAAGACAAACAGAGAAAGCAAGTTAAAGAAAACGTGGGAAAAACTATTTTAAACCATGAAAAATTTTATTCAGAAATATATAAAGCAAATGGACCAATAATATTTGGAGGATAAATAAGGGAGACAACCAACTTTTACCAAGGTGTGGAGTCTAAAACCAAACTTATATTATCTCCCTTTAATAAATGAAGAAGGTGTAGCAGTGAGTTATGGCGTCCTTAGGTCGAGCGTCACCTGCTATTTTAATGTAGAGTGTAGCCCCCCCCCCCCCCCCCCCAACTATTTTACATTTTTTTCTTTGGTTTCGCCCCTGTCCTCTAACATTTTATTATTTGAAATGGATAAAACAGCATTTTTACAGTAAAATATTTACGATGTTTTTCGGTTTGGTGTGACCCGGTGCGGACTGTACCCCCCCCCCTCCCCCGAATTATGAGTAATTGAACTAGGTGTAACTGGTCTAGACAGGATAGGGCTAGGCTAGGCTAGGCTAGGCTAGACTAGACTAGGCTGGCTCGGCTAGGCTAGACTAAGCTAGGCTAGGCTAGGCTAGGCTAGGTTAAGCAATACGTGGTTTGATTATCCTAAGCTTCAACAGATCAGCATAGTATCTATATGAGAATTTTTAAAACACATTTTTCATTTTAATTTTACAGGTTTAATTGTTTGTATTGCTTTATTTCTGGATAACAATTAATACTGATTCAATGATTACATCTTGTTTTTGTTTTTTTTTTTGTTTTTTTTTTTGGTCGCCAAACTCGACTTTAACTTCGACATGGTGGCAAAACTCGACAGTCTTTCTAAGCATTTCGCCTATAGACTAGACTTGGGAGCGAACCGATCGATTTTGAACGGCTTCATGTTGTAGGTGGGGGTAGGTTAAAGACCAGCTCACACACGGCTTTACCTACAGCTGGGGCCAGCTTGAAGCCGTGACCTGTGGACAAAAGAAACAAATATAATACCAGCTGATGGATAATCCGTTGTTTAAGTAGTCTAAAATAAACGAGTCAACAGCCCAATGTTACACAAATATAATACCAGCTGATTCGTTGTTTAATTAGTCTAAAATAAACGAGTCAATAGTCCAATGTTACACAAATATAATACCAGCTGATTCGTTGTTTAATTAGTCTAAAATAAACGAGTCAATAGTCCAATGTTACACAAATATAATACCAGCTGATTCGTTGTTTGAGTAGTCTAAAATAAACGAGTCAATAGTCCAATGTTACACAAATATAATACCAGCTGATTCGTTGTTTGAGTAGTCTAAAATAAACGAGTCAATAGTCCAATGTTAAACTAAGGTGAAGCCACAATATAAGACTTACAGAGATGTAGAGACACATTCCTACGCTTTTTACAAATGGCCAATTTTTGCCCCCCCCCCCCCACCCCCAACCTCCATTTTAAAAAGTTGTTTATATTATCGAAAAAAAGCACCCCTTCCCTCATCTGGAAAGGTAGTTAACGCTTTTTGTCAGTCTCTGTCTCTTAACTGTTTTTATTTTGATGACACAATTGATCTGGAAAGCCGAGTTGTAGTTTAGTTTTTTAAACTTTGTCTGTGAAGAATTCAGTAATGCAGCTCAGAATGTTATTTTATTTCTACCCAGTTTGGCGCCCCCATAAGGTGGGGCCGCACCACCCGCCCTCCCCTAGTTACGCCTCTGAAAAAAATATGCAATGATGAATAATAATTTGGCAATAGACTCACCCGAAAAACCGACAGCAATTATTATATTAGGGTGTCTGGGGTGCCGGTCTATAAAGGGATGTAAATCAGGGGTTTTCTGACGGAGAAAAAACAGCATATAATTATATAAATAATTTTATATAGATATATGTAATTTTATATAGATATGTATAATTTTATTTATATATATATATATATATATATATATATATATATATATATATATATATATACATTTTTAAGAAGCAAAACTACACAACGTTTATTTTTTGAAAGTCGACAAAAATAGTAATACAATACAGGTATCTACAGTTTAATTATAGTAGCTGAATGAAATATATCTATTATTATTTTCGTCAAGTGAATGCTAGCAGCCAAATATAGATCTGTTTTATTTAAACCCAACCGGTAGAATCTCATAAAAAAAACTATGTGATGCTTGTATTGTGTTTTTCAGACATTCAGGTAGGGCCTATCTTTATAGCCTAGCCCAGGGGTCGGCAACCTTTTGAAGCGAAAGAGCCAAAAGTTACAACTTTCAAAATTTCCCTGGTTTTAAAGAGCCACTAACACTTTTTTTTTATTTCAAATATTTCATTTTTTGATTAAGATTATTAGTATTTGTGCAAGGAGCTGGCGAGCCGCATCTTGATATCAAAAGAGCCGCATGCGGCTCGCGAGCCGCAGGTTGCCGACCCCTGGCCTAGCCCCATAAAGATAAGATAGAGCTATAGCAGTAAAGACATAAGAAGCTGTTTTATTAGTGAACTGTTGAAGAATAGTTGAACAGTTTGGTGACGATAAAAAGGAATAATTTTAAAAAATATATCATTATAAATCACAAATGTGTTGCTCATTATCAGATTGTAATATTCTGTGCGCCTCCTCCATCCCATCATATTTATAGTTATTTGTGTCTTTGAAAAAGCGCCCCCCCCCCCCCCCCAGAAAAAAAATGTAAAGATTTCTTGCGCTTCTTACAAGTTATTATCCCATAAGATTTTCTATTGTGGTGCAACAAAATTGATATAGAAAAAGAGTTAAATCAATGTGTAAAGCCTTGTAGTTGTTTATTTTCGTAACTTTGACAGTATATAATTTAATACATTAGCTTAAAATGAGTTTTTTAAATTATTTTTTCTATCCCTTTTGGCGCCACCCTAGTGTCGGTGCCCGGGGCGGCGGCCCCACCCACACTCCCCTAGCTACGCCACTGGTCGCACACACATCTACACCCACTACTCACACACACTCACACACACACAACCATCAGGAACACATCAAATCTAGTCAAGTGTCTCAAACACACACATCTACACACCTACACACACTCACAACTATCAAGAACACATCTGCTCCAGTCACGTGACTCACACACACATCTACACACACACACACAACCATCAGGAACACATCAACTCAAGTCACGTGACTCACCGTGAAGATGCAGTACTCCCGAATGGCCGGCTCCCTCTCCAGAGTTGGAAAGGTCGAGGTCAGGGTGTCCCTGACCCTGTCCACCACCCACTCATCGCTGCCGACCTTGTCCCTCTCATCCGGGTCAATCTCTGGGCCGGTATAGTAGCAAACCTTATAAGAGAGAGTACAGCCCTATAAGTGCCATCTCTGGGCCGGTATAGTAGCAAACCTTATGAGAGAGAGTACAGCCCCATTAGTGCTATCTCTGGGCCGGTATAGTAGCAAACCTTGCAAGAGAGAGTAAAGCCCTATTAGTGCTATCTCTGGGCCGGTATAGTAGCAAACCTTATGAGAGAGAGTACAGCCCCATTAGTGCTATCTCTGGGCCGGTATAGTAGCAAACCTTATAAGAGAGAGTAAAGCCCTATAAGTGCTATCTCTGGGCCGGTATAATAGCAAACCTTACAATAGAGAGTACAGCCCTATAAGTGCTATCTCTGGGCCGGTATAGTAGCAAACCTTATAAGAGAGAGTAAAGCCTCATTAGTGCTACACGGTCAAACAGCTTGTTTTGTGAAATTCGCTAAAGCAAAACTATAGAACCAAAGTCCTTCGTAAAAGCAGTGTTTCTTTCCGACTTTTTTCTGCTTGTTGGGGGGGGGGGGGAGCATTAAACTTTCGGGGTGGGGGGGGGGGGTTGACTTAAAATTTCGAGAAAATGCGAACATACAAACTATGTTAATACACTTTAATGTTGTCATATTTATGGTACAATGCACATTTTTGCGTAGTTTGCTAATGTCTATGAATGATCGATTTACACAAAATAAATTTTCTTGCGCACATTTGTGTGCCTAGTTTTTCCCTGAGCATTTTTTTTCGTTTGCGCATCATTTTGGTCACACAAAAATGTCATCCCACCATCCCCCACCCCTACAAAACTAAAGTCACACAAATCTCTTAAGTACAGGACAGCAGACGTGAGGGACTGACCTTGACCAAGCCCGGGTACTCATCCATGGGCAGACTGTACACGTCATAGCCCGAGTGTTTACGCGAGTCAATGATGCATGGAAACCTGCTGGACGCGTAGTCTGGACCTGCGCCAGATTCGGCCTTCCAGTAGTAAACATTGGCTCTGATTGGCTGAAATTCAAACACAAACGTTAACTTCGATTGGCTTCAATTTATACATAAACATTGGTTGTGATTGGCTGAAATATAAACATAAACATTAGCTCTTGCTTGGCTGCAATTTAAACATAAACATTGGATCTGATTGGCTGAAATTCAAACACAAACGTTAACTTCGATTGGCTTCAATTTATACATAAACATTGGTTGTGATTGGCTGAAATATAAACATAAACATTAGCTCTTGCTTGGCTGCAATTTAAACATAAACATTGGATCTGATTGGCTGAAATATAAGCATTAGCTCAGATTGGTTGAAATGTAAATATTAACATTAGCCCGGGTTGTTTGAAATTCGGACGTAATAAAACAGCAAATTATATTAGCTCTAATTAGATGAAATTAATAAAGCAGTAGGCCAACATGTCATTGACAGTGATTGAATTGGACATGTCATTGACAGTGATTGAATTGGACATGTCATTGACAGTGATTGAATTGGACATGTCATTGACAGTGATTGAATTGGACATGTCATTGACAGTGATTGAATTGGACATGTCATTGACAGTGATTGAATTGGACATGTCATTGACAGTGATTGAATTGGACATGTCATTGACAGTGATTGAATTGGACATGTCATTGACAGTGATTGACTAAAGAACCATGGTAACAAAACTCTAGTTTCTTAACTTCAACTGCTACCAACAATAATGCTACTAGCTTCATGCTACTAACTACTACCCAGATGCTACTCGCTAGATGCCTTTAACCAGATACTGCTGACTAGAGTGTTAGTTATGAGCGGACTTTTCAGTTAAAATCTACTTCCCCTACCTGTAGAGGTAGGTGCAGCCCCAGGGAGGCACACAACGGACCCGCCCAGGCTCCGGCAGCGATGACGACACTGGAGGCGGTGTAGACGGAGCGTGACGTCATCACGGTGACGGTAGCGCCCCCTGGTGTTATAGAGCACACTTTCTCCCCATCACGGATAACTCCGCCGTGGTCTTTGAACACCGTCTGGATGAGAAACAGATCTTCATGAACATGGCATCTTTACATGACAATCAAACATGCCATTAACCTATGACATAAAAATAAGAACATGAACACAACACTTGAAGACATCACATGAACACACCAGATAAACACATCACTTGAACACATCACACTAACACATCACACTAACACATCATATTAACACGAGCATATCACATAAACAGACCACATGAACACATGGGATTAAAACACATCACATGAACACATCACAATAACGTCTCGCTGAAATATTTTAAATAAACACATACCTAGAACATATGACATAATACATCACATGAACAGATCATATGAACACTTCACATAATTATATTATATGGACACATGGCATTTACTGATCAAATAAACGCATTACTACATATTTTACATGAACATTAAAACACATCACATAAATATATCACATGTCCACATGACACAACACCTATTATATGACTTCAACCAATACAACGTCAAAATTAACATGACATAAATGCACATCTGCCAAAAACACAACACACTGTAACACCTGCCATTATGAAGGGACATCAACAAATCAATGACCTGAAATGCCCGCAGTGCCCTGTCCGCACGTAAAATACCCCCACTGGGGTCCCAGATCCCACCACAGTTGTCGCCCCCGTTGATGACCGGAAATCGCCTTCTGACGTCAGCAGGGGTCAGCACCTCGTGGGGGACGTTGTGTGCCCGGAGAGAGTTGGCGACTTCCTGGAGACCACGTGATCCGGGTTGGCGCATGTCTAGTGTGCCGCAGTTTCTGTGGATTAATTAGAGGGAATCTCTCATTGGATGTCAGTTAATTCACGTTGCAGTGCGGAAGGGAGGAGGGATGAATAGTAAACAAAGTTTAACGGACATAGGTATGTTCTAATGACAATATGCTCAGTTGTAGGAACAATGTGTGGTCACTTAGAGAGTCAATGTGTGGTCACTTAGAGAGTCGATGTGTGGTCACTTAGAGAGTCAATGTGTGGTCACTTAGAGAGTCAATGTGTGGTCACTTAGAGAGTCAATGTGTGGTCACTTAGAGAGTCAATGTGTGGTCACTTAGAGAGTCAATGTGTGGTCACTTAGAGAGTCAATGTGTGGTCACTTAGAGAGTCAATGTGTGGTCACTTAGAGAGTCAATGTGTGGTCACTTAGAGAGTCAATGTGTGGTCACTTAGAGAGTCAATGTGTGGTCACTTAGAGAGTCAATGTGTGGTCACTTAGAGAGTCAATGTGTGGTCAGTTACACCACGTTTACACTTGCAACATGTATACTATACAAGTGTAGAAAAAAAATTCGCTTATTCACTTATTGTGAAGTTGCTTCTTTTTTCTAAACATGTATGGTATACATGTCGCAAGTGTAAACGCGGTGTAATAGTGACAATATCTGGTCAGTTAGATAAAATCAGTGTTTAGAGACGATATCTTATAAGTATTAGGGGACAATATCAAGTCAGTTTTAGGGATATTATGTTGTCAGTTTGAAGAACATTTGGTCAGTTTTAGAGTCAATATATAGTCAGTTTTAAGGACAATATCTTGTCAGTTTTAGGTTCAATATCTAATCAATTTTAGGGTCGATATCTGCTCAGTTTTAAGGACAATATCTGGTCAACTTGGGTCGATATCTGCTCAGTTTTAAGGACAATATCTGGTCAACTTGGGTCGATATCTGCTCAGTTTTAAGGACAATATCTGGTCAACTTGGGTCGATATCTGCTCAGTTTTAAGGACAATATCTTGTCAGTTTTAGGTTCAATATCTAATCAATTTTAGGGTCGATATCTGCTCAGTTTTAAGGACAATATCTGGTCAACTTTGGTCGATATCTGGTGAGTTTTACATTTAGGGTCAATATCTGGTTAGTTTTAAGGACAATATTTAGTAAGTTTTAATATCAATATCTGGACAGGTTTAAGGACAATATCTGGACAGTTTAAAGGACAATATCTGCTGTTAAATGTAGGTCTAGCCAGTCACATGTATTGGTATTGTAACAAAAAAAAACAACTCACACAAAAAAGTCTACGCCAGATTCCCTTTCAAGCTCCGCCCACATGGGGAAGGCGTCAACCATCATCCGGACGTAGAAATCTTCCTCGTAGGCGTAGCGGGTGATGCGGCTCTGTCCGTGTGAACTTCCGCGAGAGTGGGGTAATGGAAACTGTAAGAAAATAGTTCCACTATGTAGCGTTATATTAAAGGTTTTTTTATTTTTGTATTTCTTGAAGACTTGTAGGAATGTTATGCTTAATTTTGAAATATATAGGTAAGACTGTTTCGTGGGTAACACTAGTAGGAATTTTTAAATAGAAAATGTTCCAAACAAAATTTAATTAAGGTCATTGTTTTGAGGGTGGTTTTTATCTTTGTTGTATAGCATTGAGCTGGTGCGATTACTGGTTAAAAATGTTCTTGTGCAAGCCCCCAAACATGCGATTGTAGATAGGTGGACACACGCTTTGATGCGTGGGGCATCTTCATGTTCTCCATCATCACCCCCCCCCCCCCACACACACACACACAACATCTATGTTGTTTAAAATTGAAATGAAAAGTTGTACCTTTCCCTCTATTCCACATGTGGAGATAGCAGGCCTATGAGAGAGGTGCATTACCTGTTCTAGAACCATGAACCATCAAGTATTTGTTCTAGAACCATCAATTACCTGTTTTAGAACCATCACTTATTTTTTTCTAGAACAATCTATTACATTGTTTCGTCCAGACGGTTTTCTCTGGGGGGGGGGGGGGCACTTGAAATTTTCGGGGGGGGGGGGGTGGTGAACATTTTTCGGGGGGTAGGGGGCGGAGTTTAGTAAAAGTGTATGTTTACTATTTTAAATCCATCTCGTTCGGGGGGGGGGGCGGAGCCTGGAAGAAACTCTGATCAATTAGCTGTGCTACAACCATGAATTACCTGTTAAAACCATCAATTACCTGTTCTGGAGCCATCACTTACCTGTTCCAACAAAAGAACCCTTTTCCCGCTCTTGACCAAGTTGTAAGCACTCGACGAGCCCTCGATCCCTGCGCCAATCACGATGACGTCATATAATGCTCTCAGTGACGCCATTCTGTTATCACGTGAGTTTTGTCACGTGCCTCTATGCCACCTGAAATTGGTAGACACAGAATGTTGTCGGTTTTAGGAAAACGACAAACTGAAGTAGATATTTGGTAAAGAAGTCGACACTATCGTTAACCCTAGACATGCGACCCATCCCGGCGCCCCTCCCCATTTAACTTTAATAATGTAACCGGAGTAGTGTTTATGGTTGTGTCAAGAATGCTCTAGATAACATATAAATAACAAAAACTTTCACTGGCAAACATAATGACGTCGCATGATACAAATAGGAAAAAAATCCTTACGAAACAATGTTAATAAAAAGTTTAAACTGCGGAAACTACACAAGACTAACGGCGTCATTGATTGTAGGATAACAAATTGAATTGAAAATAGAATGTTGAAAATGTTACACAATACTGATGACGTCATCTTCGATAAGGTTCGCTTCCCACATCTTCTAATTTTAGAATATGAAGAATGAACTATTTCATTAAAATTTGATCTAGATCTATAGATCTACTTATCAAAACGTACGCTATGAAACGTATTCAATTTTCTCGGCCAAAATAATAAAAATAAATTAGTCTGAAAAACAACAAAAATACTTTTGAATAGCCGGGTTTTTAGCGGAATCTTTTGTCACTTATTTAGTGTTGGCATTTAATATGATGTTGTCTTTACTAATAATGCATATATTTTGTTTTAAATTTTCTAATTGGTATTTATAGCCTATGTTGTATAACATGTGTCGGATTTTTAGCTATTTTATTTCTTCGCGTTGTTACTAATATCGTTCAACATGTACTAAATCACATTGCGTTTTGACCAATAACTATTTTATAAAATACTTTTCTCAAACAAGTATAACATTTTTAAAAATATAGGCCTATAATTCCGTGTAACGGGTACCAATGGCTAGTTTCGTAATGTAACCTAAATAGAAAATCAGCTTTAGCAGTGAATCTGACTTTATACAATGAGTTGTGTGCAAAAATTGACATTGTCTGGCAATCTTTTAATATAAAACAAAGTCAAGTTAATGTAAATATGTAAATACTCTGAACAGCGATAATAACAAGGTTAAAATAATATGTTCGCAATTTACCTTTTTTTAACCTAATACCCTTACATTAATAGATGAAAACCTTTATCCGGCGTTTAAAGTACAAACTGTTATAATAATAACAAGGTTAAACTAACGTGTTCGCAATTTACCTGTTTTTTACCTAATAGCCTTACCTTAATAGACGAAAACCTGTATCCGGTGTTAAAGTACAAATTGTTAAATTAATGTGTTCGAAATTTACCTTTATTTTTAACCTAATACCCTTACCTTATTAAGAGACGTAAACCTTTATCCGGTGTTTAAAACACAAACTGTTATAATAATAACAAAGTTAATGTGTTCGCACTATCCTTTTTTAACCTTATACCCTTACCTTATTAAGGGACGTGAACCTTTATCCGGTGTTTAAAGTACAAACTGTTATAATAATAACAAGGTTAAACTAATGTGTTCGCAATTTACCCAATACCCTTACCTTATTAATAGACGAAAACCTTTATCCGGTGTGTTGGCTAACGCTTAGAGTACAAAGTGTTATAATAATAACATTTTTAAAATAATTTGTTCGCAGTTTACCAGTGTGTTGGCTAAAGCTTGGAGTACAAGGTGTTGTATAAGGAAACTTTTAGCATGGAGCAACAGCCTTGAATAAAATTTACATAGTATTTTTTATGGTCGGGTTGGTTTTTTTTTATCCACTTGCCCTTTAGTAGACGTTATATAAGAAGTAGGCCGTAGTTCGCTACCCTGGGACTGTTCGAAACTCTACTGTCGCTGCCTAGTCATGCCAAAGTTGGGGGATGGGAAATATCTGGGGCAGGGATTTTTTTTAAGTAGGTGGGTGTGGAGGGGGGGGGGGGGGGCTTTTTGATTGATTTTACACGCTTGGCAGCCTATTTTTAACGACGTAATGCATTTAGTCGGAATAGAAGCCAAAAATGAAAAAGCCAATCCCCCTTTCCCCCCCCCCCCCTTCACATACACACGTTAGAGTATTTATTCTCAAGATAAAATAACATTAACTTATTCTCCACACACACCAACGGAGATGTAAATAGTTTTTTGTTTTGTTTTTTTTTAACAAGGGACTAATGTTCACAAAATAACAAAATATTGATCACAACACTGACACAACACAAACACTGACTTCACACAAACACTGACCATAACACAAACATCACACAAACACTGACATCATACAAACACTGACCATAACACTGACATCACACAAACACTGACTTCACACAAACACTGACCATAACACAAACATCACACAAACACTGACATCACACAAACACTGACATCACACAAACACTGACCATAACACAAACATCACACAAACACTGACATCACACAAACACTGATCATAACACTGACATCATACAAACACTGACATCACACAAAAACTGACTCACACAAACACTGACATCACACAAACACTGACATCACACAAACACTGACATCACACAAACACTGACCATAACACAAACATCACACAAACACTGACATCACACAAACACTGACATCATACAAACACCACACAAACACTGACATCACACAAACACTGACCATAACACAAACACTGACATCACACACACACACTTACATCACACAAACACTGACATCATACAAACACTGACATCATACAAACACTGACATCACACAAACACTTACATCATACAAACACTGACATCACACAAACACTGACATCACACAAACACTGACATCACACAAACACTGACCATAACACTGGCATCATACAAACACTGACATCATACAAACACTGACATCACACAAACACTGACATCACACACACACACTTACATCATACAAACACTGACATCATACAAACACTGACATCACACACACACACTTACATCACACAAACACTGACATCACACGAAGAATGACCATAACAATGACATCACACAAACACTGAAATCACACAAACACAAACTATGACACTGCCATTTCACAAACACTATCCACAACAAAGCATCCATACTAAATTCTAATCAAATAAACACTTTAACAGAACACTGACCGTCAAACTATCTCCACAACACGAACTGTAACACACCAATCAGATGTAGAGCACCCTGCGTGTTATCTAGTACATACACACTACGCCAGCGTGCCGCTCAAGGCCATTTCTTAGTACTAGTTTATTGTCCCGTACAGTCCCGGCTTTATACGGGCTCAGTAGGACATATTGATCAGACTACACACCTTATATAACCACTGGGGAGACTGTGATGCTGCAGATGGTATCTGGACAGTTTAAAATTAAAATAAAATTAACTCACGTCGTCTTTTGTGCGGTATGGATTAAGGTTAGTGGTGGTAGATTGGCAATGTAGATTATTCTATTCTATTCTAATCTAACCTACAACTGACCCGTAACATAGGTCGACATGCGGGAAGGGTGGGACAAAATTATAATAAGTAATTATCAAACTAATTATATTCATTATATTCATATTCGCCAGTTGTACTTAACAGTGTTACTTGCCGACTGGGGGCCTATAGAACTCTAGGCCCATAGAACTGGAGGCCCATAGTACAGTTCTATCTACCGCCCCCCCTCCCTTCCCTCCCCCCTCCATCCCAATATAACCGTAACACACTTCCTCCCGCTTTTAAATGTCCTTACTAGACCCCTCCGCCCATACATCGAGGGTATAGAAGACAAACGCAGTATGTCCCAAAAAAACATATTTCCCGAGAAAAATGAGTTTATAAATCTCATTCCAATATTAAAATAGTGCAAAATATTGTGTTTAAACATTCATAAAATATTTGCATTCTAGTTTTCTGACATTGTACATGAGTGTTCTTGTAGCTTGTACTATTTACAGTATCATTATAAATGTACATCGATTTGACATAAAAAGTGGACATACTGCATTTGTCATCTATACCCTCGACGTGACCTTACTAAACACCCCCCTCCGCCTATAAACCTTACTAAACACCCCCCCCCCCTCCGCCTATACACCTTACTAAACACCCCCCTCCACCTATACACCTTACTAAACACCCCCCTCCGCCTATACACCTTACTAAACACCCCCCTCCACCTATACACCTTTATAAACACCCCCCTCCACCTATACACCTTACTAAACACCCCCCTCCGCCTATACACCTTACTAAACACCCCCTCCGCCTATACACCTTACTAAACACCCCCCTCCGCCTATACCTTACTAAACACCCCCTCCGCCTATACACCTTACTAAACACCCCCCTCCGCCTATACACCTTACTAAACACCCCCCTCCGCCTATACACCTTACTAAACACCCCCTCCGCCTATACACCTTACTAAACACCCCCCTCCGCCTATACCTTACTAAACACCCCCTCCGCCTATACACCTTACTAAACACCCCCCTCCGCCTATACACATTAATAAACACCCCCTCCGCCTATACACCTTACTAAACACCCCCCTCCGCCTATACCTTACTAAACACCCCCTCCGCCTATACACCTTACTAAACACCCCCCCTCCGCCTATAAACCTTACTAAACACCCCCCTCCGCCTATACACCTTACTAAACACCCCCCCTCCGCCTATAAACCTTACTAAACACCCCCCCTTCTGCCTATACACCTTACTAAACACCCCCCTCCGCCTATACACCTTACTAAACACCCCCCTCCGCCTATACACCTTACTAAACACCCCCCCTCTGCCTAAACACCTTACTAAACACCCCCCTCCGCCTATACACCTTACTAAACACCCCCCTCCGCCTATACACCTTACTAAACACCCCCTCCGCCTATACACCTTACTAAACACCCCCCCTCCGCCTATACACCTTACTAAACACCCCCCTCCGCCTATACACCTTACTAAACACCCCCTCCGCCTATACACCTTACTAAACACCCCCTCCGCCTATACACCTTACTAAACACCCCCACCCTCCGCCTATGCACCTTACTAAACACCCCCCTCCGCCTATACACCTTACTAAACACCCCCTCCGCCTATACACCTTACTAAACACCCCCCCTCCGCCTATAAACCTTACTAAACACCCCCCTCCGCCTATACACCTTACTAAACACCCCCCTCCGCCTATACACCTTACTAAACACCCCCACCCTCCGCCTATACTTGGCCTTACTAAACCTATAGCAAGTAAAGCTCAAAGCTGCGTACCTATCGGTGTTGTTATTGTTTTGGGGTTGTTGTTTTTTTTTAGTATTTAATGACATGCGTTTAAAGTAAAGGTGCCCTATCGATCTTGATGAAGTTGAGTCCAGAGATGCTTCTTAACCTCGGCACATGAAGGGATGGTGTGGTCAGCACTATGCCCACTGAGTCAGGTACCCATCGTAGCTTGGACGCTCTGTAATCTGGAAACCGGAACGAGATCCGAACTCGAGACCATCTGAATAGCAGTAGAACGCTCTACCACCACCAGGTAATCCGATACTTATATGGGAGACAACTGTGTAAATATTGCACTCAAATTAATTTAAGATTTATATTCGTATTATGTCCCTTGAGTATTTTGTTTTATCACACAGCAGCCTTTCATTTGTCGGCTATGGAACTGACTAGCGTCTTTTATATGGGACATTGTTCAAATATTGACGGAGGTGAAAAGTGTAGGGAGTCGATTTATCGTTGTGTGATAATGTGGCAGATAAGGTGAAGTAGAGTGGGGCAGCAGTGTTTTAAAATAAACGAAACTGGAAGCTGCCTAAGGTTGTTTTATTTTCCAGACGTTTTGTTCCGGGGAGTAGGGGGGGGTGTGGTGGGGCTCAATTAATTTTAAATACATTTCCTTTTTATACAATGTCATTCTTTAGTAAGTAATTTTATAAAAATAATAATAAAGAGAAATAATTGCTTTTTAATTTCTTTAGTACAAATCTATTAAAAGGAGCTTATGAGCACCCTATTTGACAATTTAGAAAAGGGAAATAAGTCATGGAAGTGGTTTAACGTTTGCTTATCTTTGATAAGTTTGATTGTAGGAGAAAGAGGACTCAGCTTTCACAGTGGTTTAAAAACAAAGGGAAAAAGATGGGAACTGATTCGCTAGAATAGTTGGTGTGCATGTGTGTTTGTCTATGTGTGTTCGCGCGCGGGAGCGTGTGTGCGTGCGTGCGTATGTGTGTGTGCGCGCTACGTTTGATTTGTAGTGTGGTGTTTTTGTCTTGTTTATATTTAAAACTAAATTTGCAAGAATTTACCGAAATGTCTGGCCGGTATTTAAAAAAAAACAAAAAAAACTATTGTGTCTTTTACTTTGTTTTAATAGAAATAAATGGATGAAACCGTAAGTTGATACCAAGCACTACCGTCACATTGTACTAGAGTGATCTCCCCTTCATGTGACGACACACTTGTATCGCTCTTAACTGCGGGATCAAATTCAACTGGGAGTGTACACTAGATGTACACAAAGCTAACGCTGGTCACATCTGTTGTGGGCAGAGGCTGGCGGTGATGCGGGCTACGAACGTTTCGGGCTACGAATGTTTCAGCTTGCGAAATAATAAGCGGGACAAGAAGATCTAATAAAGGGGATTTAAGTTACAAGCCAAACTTTTATTATTATTTCGTAGTTAGTTTTGGTTTTTTTTTTCTTTTTCGTTGTTTTTTTTTCTTTTGGTTGTTTTTTTTTTTTTTTTTTTCAAACAATTTTTTAAGAGAAGAATTAGACCAGCTTACCTAAATTTGGCTTACCCAAAGTTTGATATGACATGCATCGAGTATTTTTAAATATATTTATATTGTAATCGAAGTTTTTGATATGACATGCATCGAGTATTTTTAAATATATTTATATTGTAATCGAAGTTTTTGATATGACATGCATCGAGTATTTTTAAATATATTTATATTGTAATCGAAGTTTTTGATATGACATGCATCGAGTATTTTTAAATATATTTATATTGTAATCGAAGTTTTTGATATGACATGCATCGAGTATTTTTAAATATATTTATATTGTAATCGAAGTTTTTGATATGACATGCATCGAGTATTTTTAAATATATTTATATTGTAATCGAAGTTTTTGATATGACATGCATCGAGTATTTTTAAATATATTTATATTGTAATCGAAGTTTTTGATATGACATGCATCGAGTATTTTTAAATATATTTATATTGTAATCGAAGTTTTTGATATGACATGCATCGAGTATTTTTAAATATATTTATATTGTAATCGAAGTTTTTGATATGACATGCATCGAGTATTTTTAAATATATTTATATTGTAATCGAAGTTTTTGATATGACATGCATCGAGTATTTTTAAATATATTTATATTGTAATCGAAGTTTTTGATATGACATGCATCGAGTATTTTTAAATATATTTATATTGTAATCGAAGTTTTTGATATGACATGCATCGAGTATTTTTAAATATATTTATATTGTAATCGAAGTTTTTGATATGACATGCATCGAGTATTTTTAAATATATTTATATTGTAATCGAAGTTTTTGATATGACATGCATCGAGTATTTTTAAATATATTTATATTGTAATCGAAGTTTTTGATATGACATGCATCGAGTATTTTTAAATATATTTATATTGTAATCGAAGTTTTTGATATGACATGCATCGAGTATTTTTAAATATATTTATATTGTAATCGAAGTTTTTGATATGAAATGCATCGAGTATTTTTAAATATATTTATATTGTAATCGAAGTTTTTGATATGACATGCATTGAGTATTTTTAAATATATTTATATTGTAATCGAAGTTTTTGATATGACATGCATCGAGTATTTTTAAATATATTTATATTGTAATCGAAGTTTTTGATATGACATGCATCGTGTATTTTTAAATATATTTATATTGTAATCGAAGTTTTTGATATGACATGCATCGAGTATTTTTAAATATATTTATATTGTAATCGAAGTTTTTGATATGACATTCATCGAGTATTTTTAAATATATTTATATTCTAATCGAAGTTTTTGATATGACATGCATTGTGTATTTGTAAGTTTATTTTATTGTAATCGTAGTATAGCTGTCAGATTTGAAACAAAAATTTTATTCAGTGGGTATTGAAGACTAACATGTTTGGTGAGTACGTGTTGCCTCAATTAAAGGTCTGAAGTGAACACAATGTTATCTTGTCAAGAGGTGAAGTTCTAATTCATTCTCCTTTAAACTTAAAGGTTCCTCTCCAATACATCTAAATCATTTTAAAATGACCATTCAAGTAACAACATAACAATCAGTCTACAACTAACAATAGCTTTCAAAAGGTAATTTAGAGTTTGCATGTATCCCTGATTCATCAAACTATTTTTTTTAATTAAATATTACGGAAGTTGATTACAGAATACTTTGAACCAGGATTATGTCCCTTTCATACATCAAGTAAACAGGTCTTGATCTAGATTTATTTACCACGAGCCGACCCGCGGTGTATCATACGCCGCTATTTAGTTGTTTTTTCTACTTTTCAGTAATTCATAATTTGTGAATTCGACAGTACCAATGCTGCCACTGAAAATATTTGCTTTAAAACACTAAATCCCCATCTTCCCCCCCCCCCCCTCGTGAAAGCAGCCTCCTCTTAGTTACCTCCTCTAAGTTTAAAATGGTTTCAAACCGAATTATCTGCCCCTAATAGCCGTCACCAAACCCTGCTCTACGATTGTTTTGTAAATATTTAGCGTGAACTACAACTCACCTGACCATGTGAGGGGGATGGGGGGGGGGGGGGGGGTGGTAGCGATAGAGAGGAAGAGAGGGGACTGCAAGGCGCGCGCTTGCAGCTGATTTTTTTCTAACGGCTCCCAGAAGAGAGTTATATATATAGATTCTTACAAAAATGATTTCTAAATCAAGAAGAGCAAAAAATATTTTATCTGTTAGTTATATACATAAAATATAAATTTATTACATATAGCCAACATACAATAATTACAGACAGCATATATCAAATACCACCAGAATATATTAATTACAGACACCATGTACCAAATACATCAATGCATACTAACACATTACATTAAATTATATAAACATTTAGTTAATTCAGTCTTCTTTTCTCTGACCTCGGTCACCACCTTGACCTGCGGGGTCACAACCTTGACCTGCGAGGTCAACAACCTTGACCTTGACCTCCGGGCAGACGGCCTAGAGGCTTGACCTGGGAGCGAACCGATCAATTTTAAACGGCTTCATGTTGTAGGCTGGTGTCAGCTTCAAGACCAGCTCACACACGGCTTTACCTACAGCTGGGGCCAGCTTGAACCCATGACCTGCCGCACAGGAACAAAACAAAACAAACATGAGATGGGCAACAGTTCTAGCAGTTCTTTAAATATAGAGCTCTTCAGGACCTGCCGCACAGGAACAAAACAAAACATGAGATGGGCAACAGTTCTAGCAGTTCTTTAAATATAGAGCTCTTCAGGACCTGCCGCACAGGAACAAAACAAAACAAACATGAGATGGGCAACAGTTCTAGCAGTTCTTTAATAATAGAGCTCTTCAGGATAGAGTCATGTTTAAAACTTAATGGGCGTGTGATATTTATCGGCCATGTATTTGTGGCTAATACGTGACTAGAATAATAATACACATACAGAACGGATATGTAAATGATACATGTAAAATATAACAAGTTATACAAGCTTAACGGATATGTAAATGATACATGTAAAATAAAACAAGTTATACAAGTAGCACAGTAGAAAGAGCTTAGAACGGTTTCAAATTGTTAATGGAAAAGTGTAAGAATGATGAAGTAGTGGCCAAGATCAAGAAAAGAACGATGATAAAAACTGAAACAAGATTGATACTAGTCTGATACAAGTCAGATACTAGTCAGATACAAGTTTGATACAAGTCAGATACAAGCCAGATACAAGTATGATACAAGTCAGATACAAAACTGATACAAGTTTGATACAAGAATGATACACAATGATACAAGACTGATACAAGTATGATACAAGTTTGATACAAGGATTATGCAAGACTGATACAAGAATGATATAAATATAAGATTGATACACGTCTGATACAAGTCTGATACTAGTCTGATACAAAACTGATGCAAGAATGATACAAGTTTGATACAAGACCGATACAAGACAGATAAAAGTCAGATACAAACTGATACAAGTATGATACAAGTCTGATACAAGTATGATACACGTCTGATACAAGACCGATACAATACGAACCTGAAAAGCCGGCAGCTATGACGATGTTGGGGTGCTTGGGGTGGCGGTCAATGAAGGGGTGCGAGTCGGGGGTGTTCTGTGGGTGAAAACAACAAATAAACCAAGTGGTGAGTACAAAAAAAAGCTGAGGCAGTTGAAAAAGTGACACAATACTTCGTGAAATGCTGTGATGTTTTATAATGAGATGTCGTGATGTTTTTGAGTGTCGTGATGGATTTTATTGGGGTTTCATGATGTTTTTGAGAATGGTTATATTCTATTGGGGTTTTGATGTTAAGAGCGTTGTAATAATTCTTCAAATGTGGTATTATTTCTAAGAATGTGGTGATGTTTCTAAGAATGTGGTGATGTATCTAAGAATATGGTGATGTTTTTAAGAATGTGGAGATGTTACTAAGAATGTGGTGATGTGGTGATGTTTCTAAGAATGTGGTGATGTTTCTAAGAATATGGTGATGTTTTTAAGAATGTGGTGATGTTATTAAGAATGTGGTGATTTGTTGATGTTTCTAAGAATGCGGTAATGTTTCTAAGAATGTGGCGATGTTTCTAAGAATGTGGTGATGTGCTTAAGAATGTGGTGATGTTTCTAAGAACGTGGTGATGTTTCTAAGAATGCGGTGATGTTTCTAAGAATGTGGTGATGTTTCTAAGAATGTGGTGATGTATCTAAGAATGTGGTGATGTTTCTAATAATGTGGTTATGTGGTGATGTTTCTAAGAATGTAGTGATGTTTCTAAGAATGTGGTGATGTTTCTAAGAATGTGGTGATGTATCTAAGAATGTGGTGATGTATCTAAGAATGTGGTGATGTTTTTAAGAATGTGGTGATGTTACTAAGAATGTGGTGATGTTTCTAAGAATGTGGTGATGTTTCTAAGAATGTGGTGATGTATCTAAGAATGTGGTGATGTTTCTAAGAATGTGGTGATGTTTCTAAGAATATGGTGATGTTTTTAAGAATGTGGTGATGTTACTAAGAATGCGGTGATGTGGTGATGTTTCTAAGAATGTGGTGATGTTTCTAAGAATATGGTGATGTTTTTAAGAATGTGGTGATGTTACTAAGAATGCGGTGATGTGGTGATGTTTCTAAGAATGTGGTGATGTTTCTAAGAATATGGTGATGTTTTTAAGAATGTGGTGATGTTATTAAGAATATGGTGATGTGGTGATGTTTCTAAGAATGTGGTGATGTTTCTAAAAATGTGGTGATTTTTCTATGAATGTGGTGATGTATCTAAGAATGTGGTGATGTTTCTAAGAATGTAGTGATGTTTCTAAGAATGTGGTGATGTTTCTAAGAATGTGGTGATGTTTCTATGCATGTGGTGATGTTTCTATGAATGTAGTGATGTTTCTAAGAATGTGGTGATGTTTCTAAGAATGTGGTGATGTTTCTAAGAATGTGGTGATGTTTTTAAGAATGTGGTGATGTTTCTAAGAATGTGGTGATGTTTCTAGTAATGTGGTTATGTGGTGATGTTTCTAGTAATGTGGTGATGTTTCTATGAATGTAGTGATGTTTCTAAGAATGTGGTGATGTTTTTAAGAATGTGGTGATGTTTCTAAGAATGTGGTGATGTTTCTAAGAATGTGGTGATGTTTCTATGCATGTGGTGATGTTTCTATGAATGTAGTGATGTTTCTAAGAATGTGGTGATGTTTCTAAGAATGTGGTGATGTTTCTAAGAATGTGGTGATGTGGTGATGTTTCTATGCATGTGGTGATGTTTCTGTGGCTTAATTCTTGACACTAACACGACCTGTAAACGGTGCAACCTTTCAATGTGCTCCTGTAAATTTTATCTCACTTGAGTTCAACCATTTAACAGCCATGAACGTAACACACGCCAAACCACACAGTAAAAAGTAAATGACATTCACCGTGATAAAAAATTCAAAAATTTCACTAGAACCGTAACATTGGGCTGAACTTTGACCCGATAACAAACGACCTTGACCAGGCCGTTGTCTTGGCCTGGACCTTGGCCCCGATCCTACAATCATTTGGCACACTGATTGGACTTTGTTTCTCCCCCCCCCTACCTTGTCATTTCTACACCATAAATTATGCTAGTTGATGTCTTATCTGCTTCACTTTGCCTGCATTAGAAGGAGTGGATGCCGGCTGTTAACCCGAAATATTTCTTTGGGGGAAGGGGAAACATGAAATACTTCCGGGGTGGGGGTGGTTAAAGTATACAATTTTAATACAAATGATTTTCTTCTATTTTTGTCAAGGGGTGGGGGGTGTGGTGCTATTGAATAGGGGCGCCGGAAAGATGCCTGAAAGATACCCTGTGGGGAGAAACTCGAATTACTTCCGGGGTGGGGGTGGTGGGTGATCATTAATACAAATGTTTTTCTTCTATTTGTGTTCGGGGTATAGGATGGAGCTATTGAATAGGGGCGCCGGAAAGATGCATGAAAGAAACCCTGCGGTACCTACCGTGTAGATGCAATACTCCTTGATGGCCGGTTTGGTCTCCAGGGTTTTGAAGGTCGAGGTCACGGTGTTCTTAACCTTCTCCGCCACCCAGTCGTCGTTGATGACCTTGTCCCTCTCATCCGGGTCGATGGAGGGTCCGTTGTGGAGGCAGACCTAAAGGGGGGGGGGGGGAGAAATGACCTTTTATTGATGATGTCACTGCATCGCGAGATGTATACGTAAATAGTTGAAAGAAACCACAATGACATCAAATGGTATGGAACCTCGAATTGGGTAATGTAATATTTCAAAAGCGTGCAGTGTTATTAAACCATGTATACACAAAAACTTGGTTTGGTAGATGTTTTTTTTAATTAATATTGTAGGTAATTATTTGGTAATTAAATATAAGGTATGTAGCCTATATGTAAAAAAGTAGCCTTAACTAGATCATAATGAATTTCAGTATGATATAAAATAAATTTTTTACTTAGCCTACCGGAAGCGAATCGGGGTCAATAGAACTAAACAATTATAGTGTGGTCCTGAATAGCTAATTAAAGCTAGTATTTCAAATGTGATTCGACCAAAAACAATGCACTCAGAAGTGTTTAGATGTTCACCATGTGTATAAATTCACTTAGAAGTGTGTTCACGTTCACTATGTGTATAAATTCAGTTAGAAGTATGTACATCATCACTATGTGTAAATTCATTCATTCATTCACGGTAAGGACCGGTGCACCTGACTATATTTACCTGTGTTATGCATATCAAATCTCATGTTCCTACCGCGGTGGACGAGATTAGAGACTAATGATAAGATTACATCTGATTTAATGGGGGGAGGGGGGGGGGAGGAGTGGGTCAAAGGGGAGGGGGGAGGCTGGCCTTGGGTATAACGAATCAAGGGTGTCGACACATATGCCTACTCTGCCTAATGTATACTGCTGATTCAGGTAAATCTGTATTTAAAAAATACTATTAGCTAGGTACAATTAAAAAAACAATAATCGGGAGGCAATCGTGTTTTTCTACATAAATATTTTGTCGTCCCCCCCCCCCCCCTCCTTCAATATTGTATTTTCCAAATAGTTAGCTTATCGATACTAAATTACCCTTGTAAATTAAAGTTTCCCTTTCAAACCTGGCGGTCTATGGGGCAAGTGAAGTAGAGTTCACTTGTTTCTGTGACCTCGGCATATGAAATTACCCTACCGATACCTTATTACCATATCGATAACATATTGCCCAACCGATACTATATTACCCTACGGACACAGTATTGCAATACTGCTACTACTTTACCCAACCCATACGGTATTACCCAACCGATACTGTATTACCATATCGATACCATATTACCCTACCGATACAGTATTGCAATACTGCTACTACCTGTGGAGTAGGCAGGATCGTCTCATGGGGGGGGGTTCAAATTTTTCCCAGCAATATACATATCAGAGGCGTAGCGAGGGGGGGGGGGGCGGGGGGACATATGTCCCCGGGCGCCGACCTTAGGGGGCGCCAAAATGGGTTGGAAAATAAATCGAAAGGTTATGGGGGGTGCAAATCGAAATCTTGAGGGGGGGGGTGCAAATCAAAAGTTTGTCCCCAGGCGCCGGAAAGGGTCGCTATATATATTGATTCAGAAATAGATTTAAATAATTAACAGTATTATAACAGTAAAATTTTTTTTACAGATGGGTCCATTGGAGGGTTGTAAATCCCCCTAACTCCCCCCAATGGACCCCCAACCCCACCCCCCACCCCTGCATACGCTACTGGGTACTACATTACCCAATCGATTCGGTATTACCTTAACGTTAATCTCATTCCCCACGGGGCGCAGTACGATAGCTTGGTGATGTTTTAAGTGTGATACCGATATTGTATTGCTCTGTTTTAAGTGTGATATCGATACTGTATTGCTCTGTTTTAAGTGTGATATCGATACTGTATTGCTCTGTTTTAAGTGTGATATCGATACTGTATTGCTCTGTTTTAAGTGTGATATCGATACTGTATTGCTCTATCAAAGACTGTAGAATGCACCTAAGTATCATCGTGGATTCACTTCAATATTATGTTACCATTTAACATAAATTACTGGCTGCAGCCAAACAGCTTGTATTGCTGTAGCTGACAGTCTGACAGCAGACGTGTGAGACTGACCTTGACCAGGCCAGGGTACTCGTCCATGGGGAAGCCGTACACGTCAAAGCCTGTCTCGAGGCGGGAGTCAATGAAGCATGGAAACTTGCTCGACCGGTACGCTTGGTCGGCGCCCTCTGTGGCTTTCCAGTAGAGTACCTGTGTCCTGATTGGCTGAAAGTTGTAGAGGGTATAGGATCAGTATAGAACATGTGTCTTCATTGGCTGAAGGGATATAGGATCAGTATAGAACACAACTCCTGATTGGTTGAAAGTTGGAGGGGGATATAGGATCAGTATAGAACACAATCCATGATTGGCTGAAAGTTGGAGGGGGGTATAGGATCAGTATAGAACATGTTTCTTCATTGGCTGAAAGTTGGAGGGGGATATAGGATCAGTATAGAACATGTGTCGTGATTGGCTGAAAGTTTGAGGGGAATATAGGATCAGTATAGAACATGTGTCCTGATTGGCTTACGGTTGAAGGGGGGGGGGGGTATAGGATCAGTATAGAACACAATCCCTGATTGGTTGAAAGTTGGAGGGGGATATAGTATCAGTACAGATCCTGTGTTCTCATTGGCTAAAAGGATATATGATCAGTATAGAACCGGTGTTCTGACTGGCTGAGAGTTGGAGGAGACTATAGGAACAGATGATTTGATTGGCTGACGAGTAACCACTGGTAAGAAATAACTACACGCCACCTGTTCAGTTGTAATCTACTCCCCCTACCTGTAGAGGCAGCTGCAGCCCCAGGGAGGCACACAACGGACCCGCCCAGGCTCCGGCAGCAATGACGACACTGGAGGCGGTGTAGACGGAGCGTGACGTCATCACGGTGACGGTGGCGCCCCCTGGTGTTATAGAGCACACCTTCTCCCCGTCACGGATAACTCCGCCATGGTCTTTGAACACCGTCTGGATGAGAGACAAATCTTCGTAAACATACTGGGCAGTTAGCACGAACACATGACATCAACATATGACACGAACACATGACATCAACAGATGACATTAACACATGGCATCAACAGATGACACAAACACATGACATCAACATATGACATTAACACATGACATCAACAGATGACACGAACACATGACATCAACACATGACATCAACACATGACATGAGCATTGACAACATCAATACACGAAATCAACTCTTGACATCAACACATGACATCAGTTCTTGACATCAACACATGACATAAACACGTGCATTACATCAACAAATGACGTCAACAAATGACATCTACATATGACATCAACACATGACATGAACAGATGACAAGAACAGATGACATAACAGATGATATGAGCAGATGACAAGAATACATGTCATGAACACATGACATGAACAGATGACCTCAACTACCTGAAATGCCCGCAGTGCCCTGTCCGCACGTAAAATGCCCCCACTGGGGTCCCAGATCCCACCACAGTTGTCGCCCCCGTTGATGACCGGAAATCGCCTTTTGACGTCAGCAGGGGTCAGCACCTCGTGGGGGACGTTGTGTGCCCGGAGAGAGTGGGCGACCCTCTCTAACCCGTGTGACCCTTGTTGGCGCAAGTCTATGATGCCACAGTTCCTGGGACGCAAACAAAAAACATCACACTTAAAAAAAACATCACCAGGATATCGTTTTTCACCCGTGGTGGATGGGAGTAACGATGCATGTCTCATGTCGGTGATCGGGGTTCGAATCCCGTAGGGAAGGAGAACAGTGTGGTCACGAAATGTGGCTGGTCAGTTATACAGGCGGGTGCTTACATGAAAGTCTCCAGTTCTCGGGTTCGAGTGTATAAACCACTTATTATGGGTACTTTACTGGATAACGCAAAAACTCATTGACATATTACTGACAACATACAATAGACCAACGACTTGTGATGGGTACTTTACTGGATAAAGTGAAGATTTCTTGACATATTACCGACAACATCATGGCATGTCAAAGATCAAAATAGATGATTATTTCTTTTGACCAAGTAGACCATCTGGTCTAAAAAACACTTTTTACTGAAATGCACTTTGTGCTCAAATTATATATAATCATTATTGATGTTTCATTATATTGACAATTTATGGTCAGCTATTTTATCAATGGGAGTAGGGAGGGGCGATAGACATATTGGAAAGGACACGTTGAGGATTAAATGGACCTCCTCACTAGATTGCCCTTTTGTAAAAAGAGTGCAAAAAAATAGCAAATTACCTCACTTATAATAATTAGTCACCTGTCATATCAAGGCATTGTTTCTGTCTAGATGATTCAAAATTAACGATAAATACAATGGCTGTAGTAAAGAATTTTTCCCATAACAATGGTGAGGTTAATGAATGATCTGATGTGACTGTGGAGAAACCACTTACCTGCATATACCACACATCACTTACCTGTGAACATCACATGGTTCTACTTACCTGGAAAATGTACATCTACACGTCCATATTAATGGGAATCCAAACTTACGAACTCGCTGAAAAAAAAACTCTATATCTGCATAGATATGTTGCATCTATTTATATCTGCCCAGTTCTGCTGTATCTGAATACCCAGTTCCTCTGTGTCTGTTGGATGAACGGCTGCAAAATTGAACTCACAGACAATAAACACGGAAAGGCTAGAGAACCAGAACAGGTTTGATGAAATGTCCACAATGACACTACAAGAAATGAAATGTACACAACGACATCACAAGAAAGGAAATGTCCACAACGACATCACAAGAAAGGAAATGTCCACAACGACATCACAAGAAATGTCCACAATGACACCATAAGAAAGAAAATGTCCACAACGACATCACAAGAAAGGAATGGACATAAAGACTCCAGGGCGAGATGAAGATGGAATGGCCAACGAGATATTTATACAACAGTCGCTTAAGGGTGTACAGAGGCAGTAACGCTATCGATTGTACATCAAAGATAGCTGGAATATAAGTTGAGCAATGTCCATAAATGACGTCACACTGGGTGGGGGTCAGAATTTTCAGAGGAGTGTTACAGTCACAATGTCTTCATATTAAAAAGGTATTTTATAAATCCGAATTTGTTATCTAATATAGTGTATTTTTAAAGACTTATTTCATGTGAATTGTAATATGATTTGATCAATATACCCAATGTCGATCAAGCTTAAGTTAATTAATATTTTACAAAGACATGGTTGTTTCAAAATAAAAATAGAAAAATGTGTATTGAGACGGGGGTAAGGGGGTGGGAGGGGGGGGTAAAGCTTAAGAGTGACGTTTTAGGGCGAGAAGTCTGGATCTTTCTGGCGATGTAGTTGTAAGATTATAGGTGAGATAAGCTTAAGGTTATTTATAGACGAGTTTCTACCATATTCAGGCAAACAAATCGAAGTTGACCAAAAAAAATGAGAAATTGTCTTTACACAGACAAGGACGAAATGTGCGTTACACAATTTGTTAAATAAAAGAAGAAATGGGCGTGTAGCTCATGCGCGACCTTGAACTAGAGAACTCGTGTCGTCTGCGGTCACTAGACTTCCGGCTGTCTGAGGCGACATGACATCCCGTGGAGCCAGACATGCTTTATTTGAACGTGGGGTGGGGATGGGGGTGGTGCCAACACCCAAGATATGCTTTATGTGGAAGTGGGGGTGGATGTGGGTCAGAGGCGTAGCGAGGGGGGGGCGGGCGCCAAATTGAAAGTTTGAGGGGGGGTGCAAATGAAAAGTTCGATGGGGGGGGGTGCAAATCGAAAGTCTGAAGGGGGGGGGGTGCAAATGAAAAGATCGATGGGGGGTGCAAATAAAAAGTTCGAGTGGGGGGTGCAAATCGAAAGTTTGTCCCCGGGCGCCGGGAAGGGTCGCTACGCCTCTGATGTGGGTTGGGGGTGGGGGTTGAGCCAACTCGCAAGAAATGTTTTGTGTCGACGTTGGGTGGGGGTGGGTTGGTCATTTAGAAATTACACAGTGGCTGAGTGACAGTTGGGGGTCTGGACGGAACCAGTAGAAATAAAATACTGTTCTCTTTTACTATTATTGGTCAATATATGCCCGGAATCCACCTGATAATAGGTGAAGTAGAGTCACCCTGTTTTTTTTTTTATCTTCACGTCACAGCTGTAATGTAGCCAAGAAAAATGCTTCTTGGGTACCATTGGCGTAGTGACCAAGGCGATTTGAGGGTTGGAATCTAAATATACATAACCGTTGTTAGGGCCTGGTTATCTTGGAATAGTGCACTAACTCTATACCACACAACCACCTCGTGAGTATAATTTAATCAAATATTTAAACAAATGCGTATTTAGAAACAATTTTTTAAAACAACTCACACAAAAAAGTCTACGCCAGATTCCCTTTCAAGCTCCGCCCACATGGGGAAGGCGTCAACCATCATCCGGACATAGAACTCATCCTCGTAGGCGTAGCGGGTGATGCGGCTCTGTCCGTGTGAGCTTCCGCGAGAGTGGGGCAGAGGAAACTGTAAGAAAAAATAGTTCCATGTGTAGGCCCATCTGTGGTTGGTGAAAGGTTTAGAGATGCGGAGATTTTAAGTTATTTAATTAGTTGTTTGCTAATATGTTTATCTGCATCCCTTGACAGTAAAATGTGAAGTTTTAAATGTGCTATTCTGGTGGGTGGAGGGAAGGGATTTTTCTAGAATCGAGTTACGTCACAAGCCGTGATACTGAGATAACCTAAAGGTTTAGGGAGAGGGTGGGGTGGTTCTAACTCGAAGTACCAAGTTCAAACCCCGCGGCATATGAGGCTCGTTAGCTGGGGACTGCGACCCATCTAGAAGAGAAAAACCCTAAACAGAGTGGGAACCATAGGCGATAGGATC